CTGCTTCAGTGACCTAATAAAGAAATAAAAAGTTGTAGAAATGCCACTGACTCAGAATAATGCTAAATTGTATCAGTAAGAAAAACCTCAGTTGTGTTGCTGTCTTTAGTTCAGAGCAAGGTGGGAGGCTAGCACAGGAATCCCCAAAGTGTATTATATTCACACATATAGGCAAATACATGTATTTGAGCATTTTAATAGATGTTTGTTAAACAAAAAATGCTAAAGATTTCCAGTGTTATTCTCCAATCTTTGAAGGAAAGGAATCAGAAATTCATGGTATCTTAAGGAGATACAATATGATATGTTCATAGATTAGCTCAGTTCCTAAATCTTGGTTACATTAAAAGGTTAAAAGTAGATGAAATGATACATAGGTTTCAAAAGTTATCTGGACTAATTTGGGCTCTGAACTTCTAAGTTGGAGACCACAGACAACTAACTTCCTTTCCAGAGGAGAGTTGGAAAGAGAAACGTTGACTTCAAAGGTTAACCTTCTTGTTTTACGTGCATCTAACTGGGAACTGGTGGGAGTCACACTATCTTTCAGTCCAATGGGTATTGGATGCCTTGAAATATGTCTCCTTTGCCAGTATACTCAGAGAAGCTCACAATAAATACTGCCTTAAAAAGCATTTAGCAAAGAAGGTAAAATTATATTCTTTGAAATTTGAGTAAGAGGTAGAAATATTTAAACGGATCACGATACTCACATGCTTCTGGGGCACTGAGAGAGAAGCGAATGGACTCCGTCTTCTCAATACAGAAATATAGCACACTTCTTGGACCTTCATTCTTGATATAAGGTTAACTCATTACAGCTCACCCAGAAGTTAGTGGTAAGTGGGTAGGGGTTCAAGTGTCCAAAACCCTAATTCTTACAGAAAATTATTTTCTAAAGGCAAAGAGCGTCACTTGAAAAAATGTCGTAAATTTTTAGTGCACCAAAATGAGGTTTTCATTCTTAGAGGATGCCAAATATCTCCAAGGGAGGTCTTTATCCTTAAAAGGATAAAGAGGGAGTGTCAAGAACATGTTAGAAGTATAAACACACTTCCTATGAATCTCTCTTTTGCGGTTTCCATTTACAACTGGCAAAATCCCAATGAAATCTGTTAAAATGGTCAAATTCTTCCCAGCTTCGACCAGTTCCCCAGAGGACTCAACCACAGCAGTGATGTCAATTTTTAGCTGTATAAAAATGAACACGTATCTTGACCCCAAACTCCAGAAAAAAAATCAGAACACAAAGAGAAAGTAGACTTGGATTTTTAATTTTTTTAAAGATTATCTCTATATATATGTATTAATAAAAAGTGCAAAGAATAGACCTTCATGTTTAAATTATATTCTAAAATAAAATATATATTTCCATTAGCTGCAGGAGACAACTGGCAAGTGAGGAAGGAGCCTGGGAGAGCCCCGTCCCTCTCCGTCACTACAATGGACATGTTATATTATGGAAGCACCTATGAGAAAGAGAGTGTTCACAACACATCTGGTAACACAGACAGCTTCTGGGTGTACTTGAACGCAGTTTGTGTCTTCAAGCTAACATGAAACGGAGGGAAAAATCAAATTCATAAACAGCAGTGGCATCGCTGAGAACAATCTATTATTTTGTACTCCTGTTTTATGTGCCCTAGAGCCTAGCACTTCGCAGAGGGCAAGTCACACACACACACACACACACACACACACACACACACACACACACACGCACGCACGCACTGGTAAAAGCTATCACCAGCGAGCCCTGAGTGGGGGTCAGATCCCTGTGCAACAAAGGTCCTCTGGCTGGCGCACTGCTTACTCAGCAACACAGCTGAAACATCTGGTGACGTTTCATTTTGTTAAGCGAACAAAATTTTAAAACATAGCATCATGACACTCGGCTCTGTTACACGTAGCTCATGTTTCAGGCTTATTTCCACCAAAAGCTCTTAAAAGAAACAAGGTGTGGGATTTCCGTTGCTTTCTTACGTGTTTACGGATATGGTGGCAGAAACAATAGAAAATGTAATAATAATGAAAGACACTGGGCTCGGCTTTTTTCTCTCCTTTAAAGCAGTCTGGGCTATTTCAACAATTCAATGAAAAAGAAAACTGATCTCTATTGTGGCCTCAGCAGCTACTTGTGAGCACGGAGGACCCCTCGGTTTTGATCTGGCTTTTTCTTCTATCATTCCTTTCCCTTTTCATAACTGAAAAGAATTTCCAGTTGAGGACAGGTATGTCCTATCCACTGCGCCGGCAGCGAAATATCTGTAACACTGGCTCTGACAGCATTTTGCCTCATAAATGCCAATAATATGCTCTTCACTGCATGTGGATGGAGGAAGTCAATATTAAAATACATAAGCTGCAGCAATCAATTATGCATAACAATTAGGCTCAAAGGTCCACGGTCTCTTGTCTCCTTTCCGGCCTGTTACAAAAATAATTTTGGTTACAAGTGTCTACACAGCACCGATTTTATTTCAAAAGCAGCATCTTTACTCAGCCACCCAAATAAATCTACAGGTACACATGCTCAAATAGCTTCTCTCTTTTACTTCTGTTCTGTAGCTCTAAAAGACCAGTAATTGTGATAGATTTCATCTCAATCAAAAAGTATTCAGCAATTATTAAAACCATCAATTACAATGCCCTAAAAATACCCACATCCACTGCATTAGATGAGAAGTTCCCCTGACATGCAACTGTATAATAGGGGAATTATGCCTGCAGTTGATGGACGCTGTGTTCTGTCGTAACAGAAGGAACAGGTCTCTAATAGTAAAAAAGCATTTCATAAAACTTTGTCATATATAAAATAGCTCATTAGTTGTGACCATTCCACTTATGATTAAAGCATAACAGAAGTGTTTGCTCTGCCTTCTGCTGCGGGACAGTCAGGGGTCATATAACCTCAAAAAATAAGAGTGCATCTGTCTCCCAGGCTGACGAAAGCAATGGGCTCCATTACACGGTTTCTCTTTCAAACTCGTCGGCACTCATGCACACATACACAAAGCACCCACAGTTTTTGTCTTCATGACACTGTTGCCACGCTTTTTTCCCCACTTCCAAAAATCTGTCAGGAAAATGTGACTGCAAAATAATTATTCTTGTTTATACCCAGTCCCGATCTCCATTGCTCATTCTTCTGATTTTGAAAGATAGAGTCTTGCAGCAGGAGGATGGGCTTCATTCATCTTTCTCAAACCCTTTGGTTTCCACCTTTAATGTTACAGTGAACGTAGATTTGACTCAGTAGGCCTGGGTCAGAGGCCTGACCCAGACACTGAACCTGAAGTGCATTAAGAGAATAAACATCTGCTGTTATGGCATAGGAAAAAAATTTAAACTAGCAATAAGAATCACAACTCTGCAGATGTGAAGGATTTTATAAGAGTCACCTAAAAATTTCTTACAAAATTAAACAATTTGTAGGAGCGGTGGAATCCTGTAACGAAGGTCAAAAAGTCAAATGCAATCAGATAATGATTACATTCTTCGAAAAAGAACATACCTTCTTTTTTATGTGCACATCTCCTGCCCTTAGTTATGCTAAGCCTTCCTCAAGTCTCCCAAGTGTAAACATGGTGGACCAAGAAAGACATACATTAAAGAAAGGGAGTACACTGATTAACAAAGGACTACAAGAACAAACACAAAGATTTCAGAGCAGGTGAGGAACCAGCTTTTAAAGAAAAGTGCTTTAAATATGCTTCTGCAAAAAATATGACTTGGAGGCAATTCTGGAGTTTTGACACTTAGACTTTACTCATAGATTAGGCAGAGTTGTTCTTCAGGAGGGGCGACTAAGTGGAAACGTAAAACAAAAAGAACTGTTCAGTTACGACATCACAAAATCCCAGGGAAGAACTGGGAATCAAAACTCCCTTTGATTAAAATTTCCCACTTTTGACGCAAAGTGCAAGAGCAAGGACTTCAAATGACGACACAGGCAGGAAAGCCACGACACTCTCTTTCTCCTGTACGACCCGACTTTTCTCCTACGATGCTCCCTCACACACGCCACAGACCGTCTGTTAGCTAATTCTCAACTCTCCTGGCACGGACATCCATTACTTTTTTGGGTCCTTCCTAAAGTCAGGCCTCTGGTCCCAGTAGTTTAAGGTCAGGAAAAAGATAGCTAGATATGAGGAAATACATTCGAACTCGGGAATGCGACATATTTCATACTATGGACGTGAGGGTTGATACAGTGTGTGCGAACAGCCACGTGGACACTGTTACGTACAGAGACCAGGCTGCTCTGCCTGTGCTGCCGAACAGGGAGTTTTCCTGGAGTTTTAACTCTCCGTCTGCTCCTCTTCCAGATCCTAACAGAGTTATAGGTGCTGAGTACCTGAGATCAGGATCAGGTTGAAAAATGCTTAAAACACGAAATTGTTTCAAAAGGGAGAAATGAAGAAAAAACCCCGCCCACACTGAGAAATGAGAAGTTACTTATAGACAGAATGAAGCTACTAGGTAAACAGGGGCTGACGCCAGTCAAAGTGAAAAACTGAACCACAACAGGAAAGGAGGGAGAACGAGGGAACGCGGAAGAACGGGGGGAGAGAAATGCTGGCCCTTCCTGGAAAGATCCCTGCTCCAGATTTAAATAGTCAAGTTACCCTCCTGCGGGGGACACACTGTTCGTGCTCTTTCCACAAGTATCCCGAAGCGGTCAGGACGACCACGCGGCAGGCACGTCCCAGTGAACACGGTACGGACACGGCGGCTTCCTGGTCCTCTTTCGTGAGGGAGGGAGGGCGGGTGGACTGGCGATGTGGCCAATTCTGCTGGCTGAGCTGAAGAAATCTGTGGTAGAAAATACCAAAAACAGTCCCCTACCCATCCTAGGGGGAAAAATGTACAAAACCCCCCTGAAACTGAAACAAAACAAAACGAAACGAAAACAACCTTCTCCCTCCTAAAGAAAACCATTGGGAACAAATGCCCTGCAAGAAGTCCTTATGTATGTGTTTTTACAAGGCTGGTAGAGGTTATTTTGTTTTGGATTCCACATAAATTTTATCTCCATCCCTAATGCCAAAAGAATGCAATGCGCGAGAGCTGTACTTCATTTCCTCTGGGCCAAAGGGTGCTTCGTGGTCAAAATAGTAGAGAAGCATGTTGCTCGTGGGTAACTGCACTAGAGTTTTTAATTGTTTCTTTAGTTCTGCAACGGTTTGGTCCAGACGAATGCTCATTTCTTCCACCTGATCGTTGAAGTGGACTTCTACTTTCGCGCTGCTCTGGGGTCTTAGGTCCACTTCTGCCAAAGGCTCCAACTTCCCGTATTTCGTAATCAGTTCATGATACCTAGAAGGATAAAAAGACAGTGTCAGCTTAAGCCACTAGCATATGGACCACGGACTTTTTCAGAACTACGGGTAACCTGCACTGCCACCACCCTATTCTAACATGATCTCCATGGAGCTACCTGACAAGTTATTTGTGTCATCTGTGATCTGATACGGTTGCCCTCTTGAGGCTACAGTAAAACCACATTGTTGTGGATACAAGAGTCTGTCCTAAAGATGGTCAGCATGCCTGCTGTTAATCATTATTTACGGATAGACTTAGAGAGGAAAGGAGAACCGAGAAAAGTAGACACTCCCGGAATTTCAGAGCGACGTCTAACCACTCTGTACAACTTGCTTACTTGGACGCATCATCAAAAAGGGCAGACATCTAAGCACATGTTCCTTGGTAACAGATGGGAAGGTGGAAGCAGGCTGGCTTCTCGCCACCAGAGAAGATGACTTACAAACAACAACAACAACAACAACAACAGTCTAGTTGTAGGTGAGCTATTAATCTAGCTTTTTCAGTGATGCCTTGTTTGAATGTTCCAGCCTGGTCTCGTTGGCTGCAGTACAAGGAACTTGTGGAAGACTCCAGAATACATTCTCGTGAAAAAGTGGCAAATGGCAAATGAGGAATAGAAGTTCCTTGATCAAGGTGGGAAGAAATGGCAAAAGATGCTACGAGGAAGGTGGGTTACAGAGGTGAGAGCAGGGCCCACAAAGTCAAGTTTCCTATGTGGAAGATCCTGTCTCTACTGCCAGCCTTAGAGGATCTGGGTCTGATTTTACTGAGGAAGCTGAGCAGTTCCTACAAATCAGAGAAGGAAAAAATGATGAAAAAACCTGATATTGGCTTTATTATAACCGAGACACTGACGTTAATTCGCGATCAGAGTACAATGGTCACGTAAGATGATTCCCCCACCTCCCCGTTCCTCCTTCTGGCTCTAACTCAGTTACATCAATGTTATAGGTTGGTAGGAACATTAAAGACAGAGGCAGACGCCTGTGATTAGGGATGGAGGTAATCATTTTCATCAAAGGGAGTAACAGGTTATGGTAAAATAGTACTTGCTTTGCAGTCAGAAGATCTAACTTCAGAGTCCTGACTCCATCTTATAATTAGCTATGTGACTTATCGACTCAATCCCTTTGGATCTCAGTTTCCGTATTAGTAAAGCTGGGATAAAAAGTCTGCCCTTCCTACCTTATAAAACAGTCAGGAGAATTATATAAAATAATAGTTGAGTGAGTACTTTGTGAATTCTAAGTTTATATACAAATAAAAAATGTCAGCATTACATTCCTATTCTGGAATTTACAGTGTCAAACCATACACACCCTTTAGAAAATAAATACTTGAAATCTAGGTAGAACTTCTTGGAAAAGATGGTGGTATGATGACACAGTTTACAGAATCTTCTCTCCTAGAACTTGTGTCAAAAACGGTATTTTTTTTTTAAAGGGTAAGAATATCGCCAGCAACAACTAACAAAAGAAGAGAGGGAGTAACCTTACCGGGACAGCCTTTTAGAAAGGAACCACAGCCGTGGACTATGTGGTTCTGCTAGCAAAGATTCTAACCCAACCCTCAGAGTCCATTACGGAGAAAGAAAGTAAAGAGGAAAATCCTGAGCTAACACTTCCCAATTTACAGAAAATTGGGCTGAAGGGATGAGGAGCCAGCCAGGAGAAAGACTGAGGAAACACCGCGGGGACCAGAAGCCTCCACACCCCACTGCCAGGATGTCAAGATCTTAGCAAAGGAAAAGAGGACAGAACAGAACAAAACAAGCTCAAACAAACAAAAAGCGAAACTACCAGGACCTGAAATTTTCCCAGGCTCCAAACTGAAAAAGTGAAATGATTCAAACTCCAAGGTTATCTTTCCCGACCCCCATCTCTTCATATGTGACTTCAAACAAGTGAAACAAGGCTATGATAATTGAGCAAAATCTCAGAAAAGATAGCAGAACCCAAGAGGCCAAATAAAAGCTAAACCCAACTCCAGAGATGTTTTCCCTTCAGACTACAGAAAAGTAGAATCGTAATACCTCACTCTCACTCTCAAACTCTGCCTAGGAGGGACAGAACAATGGTGAAGGGGTCAAGGAGAGTTTACTTATACTATGTTTCAGTAAAAAGATGGTCTGGAGAGAGGTGCCCACTTTTAAGCCTAAGTGAGAAGACACAAAATGGCAACTAAACGCATCCCATAGCAAAAGGTAGAAAAGAAAGAAACACAAAGTAAAAGGCAGAGGCAGAACTCAATCCGAAAGAAAACATAATCAAAGGAAAGCGGCCTAGAACTTAATAAATGCATGAATATGATAAAACACGAGCTCAAAGACAAATGATGGACAGCAGAATGAGCTGAAAAGAAAAATTGCAGAGCCAATGACACAAATGGAGGAGCAAAACAACGCCAAAGCTCACCAAATAAATGTATGAGAAAGCATGACCCAGGGATATTATACCTTGCCAAGTTTTGTTCAGAAATACACTTAAAAGGCAATTATTCTGGGGGCGCCTGGGTGGCTCGGTCAGTTAAGCATCTGATTTCGGTTCAGGTCATGATCTCACAGTTTGCGAGTTCAAGCCTCGTGTTGGGCTCTGCGCTGACAGCACAGAGCCTGCTTGGGATTCTCTCTCTACCCCTCCCTTGTTCTCTCTTTCTCTCCCTCTCTTAAAAATAAATAAATAACATTAAAAAAAAAAAAGGAGGCAATTATTCTATAACAAGAAGAACTCAGGGAATAGGGCACCCGTGAGTTCTTCTGAAAAACACTGCTCAACAATGAAATTAAATAGCTAGCAGTAAGCTCTAAACATATTTAAATATTAAAACTAAAACTTAAAATAATAATTATATAATCTTAGAGTTATTTATACCTGACACTAGAGCCAACTGAGTTAATCTCACCCATAAACATATTTGTACACAAAAGTATGACCCACAGGCAGAAACTAGCCTACTTGCCACAACAGGCCAAGTCTATCTACAAATTAAATGACCTATAAATTAGGACATTCTAAGGTCCTACAGTTTTCTCAAAATCCAGAAATAATCCATTGTCACTCTTCTAACCATCTTTCTTTCGGTCTTTCTTATGTCAGTAAATGGCACCAGAAACTACCTACTCATCCTAGCCAGTAACTGGACAGTCATCCTGATTCCTTCCTATCCCTCCCCCCCCCCCCCCCCCCCCCCCCCCCCCCCCAACCCCCATCCCATCAATTGCCATGATCTATCAATCCTATTCCTAAACGTTTCACGAACCTATCTGCATCTCTCTTGCCCACGTGCCTTGTAAATTCAAGTCATTATCATTAATAACCTGGATTGCTAGAGCTTTCTGTGGACGAGCTTTCTCAGCATCTGCCTCAACCTCCTCTGGAATGCCTTCCTCCTGGATGGCCAAGACTGGAAAGCTAAAAACTACATTTCCCACATCTTTGCAGGTGAGCTTCAGTTTCTATCAGTTACACTCAACAGTCCTGGGGACACAGATCATGGATCTAGCAGATGCTATGAGAACAGTTGGGGCATAGGCTCCCTATTACCAAATGGCAGTTCCCTGCGTTCCCTGCATTCCCAGGGTCAACATCCCTGGCAGCAGTTTGCTGATCCCCAGATCAGCTAAGGTGCTGTGATCCACCACCAGGGACAGCAGTTTCATGAGCTTCTCCTGGTCTGACTCCAACAGAGGCAGCAGTGCCATTGGGGGGCCAGTCTGTGGCAACATTCTAAAGGTCATCCTAGGGACACAGCCATCTCCAAAATGTTTGTAAGCACTTTATTCCCTGTTTTAAGTCCCTTTCTTCTGAACATAGCTAGCATGATTTCTGTTATCTATGACTGAATCTCAAATGACACTCCTTCAAATGGTTTCCCATAACTTCACGGTGGCCCCAAACTGACTCTTGTCTACATTACAGTCAAAGCGACTGTTATAAAACACAAACGTGACCACATCACTCCTCTACTGAAAATCACATAAAGCCCTTAAGAAAAAAGCCTGAACTCTTTATCGTGATTGTGGAAGGCACAATTTTGGTCCCCACAATCTTCATCCCCTTGAGTGCTATTCTCAAGATTATATTATGTCATATGGCACTGTTGACCGTAAGACAGAGATTCACTCACTGGACCTAAACTAATCATGTGAGCTGTTAAAAGCAGCAAACTTTCTCCAGGCAGCAGCAGAAGAGGAAATCAAGAGAGATTCCAAGCATGAGAGAACCTGATACACCACGGCTGACTTGAAGATGAAGGTGGCCACGTGTAAAGGATGAGAAGGAACATAATTCCGCCACCGTCCTGAATGAGCCTGAAAGGGGATTCTTCTCCAGAGCTTCCAACAACATACACAGCCCTGCTAACCCCTTGTTTTTGGCCTGTGAGATGCTAAGCAGAGAAGCCGGTTAAGCCACACCATGCCCACACCTCTGACACACAGACACTGTGACATAACAAACAGATGTTGTTTTAAGCCACTAAGTTTAGGGTAAATTGTTACAGCAGCAATAGAAAACTGAGTGACTATAAAAGGCCCTTCATTATTTGGTTGCTTTATAACCTTCCAAACTTATTTTCTGCCATCAACATTACCACTTCTGCACCTGCCTTCCCACTTCTTTAACTCTTAAAATTTAGACTTTTGCACATGGATGGAAGTTTTGATATGGGCTCTAACACATATTCACTCTTTATTCTATAAAAATGAAGGAAAAGTATCAGAGTTGTGACTCAGTACACATCCTAAATATGCTCCCCTAAAGGTTACATATGTAACAAGTATGATTTTAAGAGAATATGTTTAATCCCCATTTTCTTATTTTGGATTCTCTTTAAGCAGGGAAAATCAGTAAATATAAAAAAATCGTGATCTTACAAAATGCCCAGTAAATTTCAGATCCCAGTTGCTTCCTAGTCTTCCAGTTCAGGTATTTTATTCACTATTCAACAGTCCATCCAAACTGACCTACAGCTGCGAACTTGGTATTATCTGA